AAAACATCGTCTGGGGGACTTCCCCCGGGGCAACCCCGGGCCCGTTTCTGACACGGCCCCGGACCACGAAGCCGGCCCCCGCAGGCCCCGAACTACGGCACACCGGAACGACGAGAACAAAAACATTGACCATCAAGATTGCAGCATCCTTCCAGGGCAGGTCGAGACATCCCCACAACCTGGCCGCGCACGGGCAGGTGTCGTACTCCCTGGCGGCTCCTCCCTGCAGTGCCCCAGTGCCACGTGCAATATATCGCGGTGTCCACTGGGCTCTCAAAAGACATGAGTCAGATCAACCAAACACGCAAACCGCCTGAGACATCCTCACACCCTGGCGCCGCGAGCGGGCAAGTGTCATACCCCTGGGGAGCTGCCCCTTTTGGTGCTCAAGGGCCACGCCTGCGATGCCGCTGTAATCATACAGTGCGCTGTGCGCTGTGCGTGTGAAGGATCATAATTCAAATGGCACGTGCGTATGAGTCTGAGTATTCTGGCTGGGTGTGACCGCACATAGGGAACGTTCTGTGTACCACCAGTGAGCCTGAGTATGAGCACGTCTGGGGATCTCTGGATTTGAGTGAGAGTGAGCCTGAGCATCAGTGGATCAGTGTCATACCCCCCTTGTGAATGTTTTCTTATTCGGCGTTTCGACATTGGGCGGAAGGGGAAGGGGAAGAGGGAAGGGGTCTGGCTCCAAACTTCTGCTTAATGTGCGACTGCTTGCAGCAGTGCGCCCTATGGGGGAGCGGCTCCGCCTGCTCGAGACAGGCGCCGAAATCAGCCAAGATCCGCTCCAGGGGGGGAGGAGGGGAGGTGCGAGGGCCCGCGCAGATCGGCAAAACAATGATGGTTGACCAAAGAAGGGCCCCGAACCCTTTGGGAGGGGACCTAAGTCAGGAGGGCTGAAAACATCAGGGATAGGGGGTCTCTTCTGCGGATGTGTCAGACCAGACCGCCCAGACGCATAGTATCCCTCATGCGTGGATGGGGACCTCAGTGACGCCACGTCTTCATCGTGTCACTAGGGTTCCCTGAGATCCGATGTTGCCCGCAACAATCCAACATCGCAAATCATCACGCCCGGAGCCCAGACCCCACCTTTCTGCGTCATTTTTCGAGCCGGATCGATCTGCGAGGGTCGCGGGACCCGATATGGAGCGAAAACGCCCGTGGGGAAAACATCGCAACGCCCGGATCTCAGGGTTGGGGGGTGCTTCTGACGAGGCGACTCCTCCCTCGGATGTCTGGGCACAGCAGGGCGCGCGGCAGCCACGCCGCCGCCGCCAGCGCGCCGCGGCCCTGGCGCCACCGCGGGCCGCCGCGGCGGGCCATCGCGGGCCGGCGCGGCCGCGCTCGAGGGGGGCGGCGGACATGATGGGGCGGCCGGCGCCTCGAGCGGGGCGGGGAGATGAGGAAACCCTGAGGGTCTGGCGCCGCAGTCTTTTCACAGCGGGCGTGCCCCAGGACCCTCGCAGATGGGCTCCAGGCGCGATTTTCTGCGGCGTTGCAATGTTGTCCACAACTTCGGATCTCAAGGACAGGTACCCGTACCGCTACCCTTCGCTCGTTTTCTCTTTTCATGGGCCTCCTGGGAGGCCCTCGTCGCCACCGCTGGATTCGCCTCGAAATCCTGGTCAGAACCCACCCTGTGAGTTGTCCGGGGAGTATCGGTATCAGTATCTACTTCTGTCCCCAATACGGTCGCTAACGGTGACGACGAACGACGAGGACAACGACGAGTGACGACGCAGATGACATCGACAACGGCGACAACGACGACAACGACGACGACGACGACAAGACGACGACGACGACGACGACGACGACGACGACGACGACGACGACGACGACGACGACGACGACGACGGCGACGAATGGACGACGACGGCTGGACAGCGCCGACACCTCGAGCGCGCGAGCTCCTCCCCAGACCTCGAACGTGTTCAGAAATTCGATGCGCAAACTGTCATCATGATCTGCCCCTGAGACCCCTCGCCGGGCCCCAGGACAGGCAGAGAACAACTCAGCATGCAGAATCGGCCCTGGGCAATGGTAGCCAGCGTGGACCTCAAACCGACATCCCACCAGCCTTCCGGGCGTGGGAGGTTCAACGAGTTTTGTCTTCCCTCTGCCAGAATCCCTCTCTCCCCTGCTCGGGGGAGGGGTGCAACCACTGCTCCTGATTGATATACACCCCCTCCCCAACCTGACTGTGGACCAACCTGAGATGTGTCAACCCTCCCCCCAACATCCCCGTCAACAAAAACAATGCAGAATGCACTTTGCCTCCAAAGCTGGGGCCTGCGCGGGCGCCCCGCCACCACTACTCTGCACTGGATGTTGACAGAGGCGGCGGGGGTGCCGTCGTGTTGCTCGCTGCGCACAGGCCAACCGTCACTGTCACAAAAAACAATGCAGAATGCACTTTGCCTCCACATCTGGAGCTTGCGCGGGCGCCCCGCGACCACCTTGCATGGTTTTTTTCTGCCAGAGACGGCGGAGGTGCTGACACATATTGCTTCAGCGTGAAGCATTTGCCGCACCTGGATCGCCGGGCTCCCTTGGGCCTCCAGGGTGCCCGGTGCACCTGAACCCGTGACGCACATGGCGTGCGTGGCGTTCCTAATCGGGGGCGCGCAGACAATGGCCTTACATTCATAGACAAGGCCCGCGCGTTCTAAGGAGCAAGGGTGCTTCTGGGATGCCTTCCCCCTCCCCCTATCCCCCCTCTGCGCGTGGCCGATTCTGGCTGGCACGAAGCAGACGCGGCGTCCCCGTCCACATGCGGGGGCGCGTAAACATGGATTCGCGATCCATGGATTTGGCGCGCGGTCGCCAGATCCATTGATCTTCCCCATACCCCCCCCCCCTGGGCCTGGGAGGAGGGGGAGGGGGCAAGGGTGTGGAGCGCCAAAGATGGCCCAAGATGGCTCGCAGAGGACCTCCGATGGCGCTGGCTGGCCTCCAAGATTGCTCAAGGCAGCCAAAGATGGGTCAAGGTAGCCACCGACACACATCTGAAAGGCCCCAAGACAGCCCCAAGACGGTTCCAAGTACCCTTCGAGCCTGCCGAGGCACTCTCCAAGAGGCCCAAATCCTTCAAAATCTTTGGCAAACCAATGGTTGTTGTCTTCTCGCGTGATCGCTTCTGATGGGCTTTGGGGCCTCAAGATGGCCCAAAGACTGCCCAAGAGAGCCCCGAGATGGGCCCAAGATGGCCCCAACAGAGCCCCAAGAGCCCTCCAAGAGCGGCCGAACCAGGGCCCAAAGACGCCTGTGTTGAGTCTCCGAGAGGGGCCCTGAATTGAGGACCCCTCTCTTTTTGAGCCATGGGGTCCAGGACCCTCCAGTGAGCCCCAAGAGGACCCCAAGATCCCAAACATGAGCCCCAAGAGGGCCCCAAGAGTGCCCCAAGAGACCCCACGGGGGCCCTAAGAGAGCCCCTATGATGGCCATAGTAGTCCTTCAAGAACCTCTCACAACACCATATCTCCATGGCCGACTTATTCCGCTCCCCAGGCCTCCAACGTTCTGATAGTTTCGTGAGTGAGCGGCCCCGAGCTGTCAGGACCTCGAGTTTTTCACCCCAGATCCCTATTGTGGACGGCCACGGTGCTCGAAGACAAGCCTCAGAGATCGGGGGTAAGGGTGCCCCTGCCCTGAGGTTCCCCCAGCTTGTCGCTCTACGTTGGAGCTCCTGGGGCCCCCTGGGCCTGGTGAGGGATGCTCTGGAAGCCGTGGGGGCCTCCTTGCTAAAATCCTGGGGGCACCTTGGGCCAGAGGCACTCCTGGCATCTCCAGAAAAGAATCCGAACTCGAAGAGAACCGTCCGGATCGAAAAATCATGTCGTCACAGCAGATCTGGCACCCCCTCCACCATCCCCCTGGTCCTCCTCGATTGCCCTGCCCTGACCAAAACAACTTCTCGACGTGTTGGGCGGGGCGCACTGGGCGTTTCGCCAGAGACTTCCCCATAACTGATGGCCATAAAACTTGACCTTCCCACACGGCCCCAGGCATGGACAGCGGGTGGATCTAAAAAACGGACTCCAGCCCAGACCCCCTCGCATCGTGAAAAATTCAAACCGGAATATGTGTTGTGGCCTCTGGGGGCCCTTACTGGGCCTCGGGAGCGTCAAAAAAAGACTCGGGATGAACAACCTGTCCCCGGGAAAGGGTCCAGACATCTGGGGGTCCAAGTCATGGAAAAAGCATGACGTCGGGGGTCTGGGAAGCCAGGTTGGTACCAAGAAATGCCAGATCAATGTTATGCAAATGTCCAGGACGATTGCAGATTCGCCCTCTCCGGCGGCGCCCTCCCTGGAAGTCCACCCTGACCTGTCCTCAAGAGCGGGCGTCGAAAACATGAACCCCTTCTCGAACGGCCCAAAGGCCCCATGGCGATACCGCAAAACGAAGAGCATCTCGAGTTGGAGAGTCCAAGTACGAGGAACATAAGGGTACATATCCTAAGAGAGGGTTGTTCTGAACCCTCGTGCCGGCTCTACACGGGGGACCTACTCTGCCCCCCCCCCGGTGACACAGCCATCCGCGCGATGTCCGAGGCAAATCCAGGCGACCTGGGGCCATTGAATGACTAAGTATCCGAGGCTGCTGGAGGCTATCTGGCGCCAGTCCAAGACCAGGTGCCGGGACAGAGCTCCCCCCAGGTCGTGTCCTCCGCAGGGGACCCCGGGGCCTTCCCCCAGGACCACCACTTCATCCTGAGCCGTCTTCTCAAGGATCCGGGGCCTTGCGAGGGCCCCGAGGGCCCAAAAATGGAGAGTGACATTCCCGGTCTCCCTCGGGGAGCACTTCCTCCCGTTCTCCCTCGGGACAAGCGTAACATCAGGACCCGCTCTCCCTCGGGAAGCGCTTCCTTCCGGGCGAGCCGCGGCTGCATACGCCCCTCCCTCCGACCCGTCGCTGGCCTTGCTGCTCGCGCCTCCGCCGCATCCCCGGGCCCATCTGCACCGGCCGCCGCGACCCCCGCCCTGCATTTCTTCGCCGACTGCTCTGCGCGGCCCCCGCGTGACGCGGTGTGCCACCCGCGCACGGCGGCGTGCAGCCCGGCCGCACCACGCAGGAGGCTGGAGGTGCACCAGGCGCCGAGCACAAAAAGTTGGTGCTCGGCCACGTCTGGGTGGCGGCGCAACGGGCGCGTGAGGAAGAACGCCCTGCGGGACTCGCGCGGCAACTCGAGACTCAAATTGCGTCGGCTGTGCGCGGGGTTCACGTCGGAATAGTAGTATTACGAATAATACTTGCTCTAATACTAACGATGGATATAGGACTGATAAAAATAAACATGGTAATAATATATATGTATATATATATATATTATTATCAGTATGAAGAATAATACTACTAATAATAATAATGATAATAAAAAATAATAATACAATAAAAATAACAATAACAATAGTAATAATAATGATAATAGTAGTAGTAGTAATAATAATAATAATAATAAAATTATAATAATAACAATAACAATAACAATAATAATGATCTAGCTGTGGCGCGCCACGCAAGGCCTCCAGGATGTTCCTCATGGCGAGTGCAGCACGTGGCACGACCGCCGACCGTCTCTCCCTCTGCGGGGTCGCGCAGGTGGCGGAGCTGCGCGGGCGCCGGACGGGGCTCCCCGGCGGCCCGCGACACGGGTGCTCCGCTGCTGGAGAGTGTCAGATCCTGGGCAGGCGGTCCTTCCTGAAATTTGCCCGTGTTCTTATTCGACGTTTCGACATTGGGCGAAGGCTGCGCATTTTCTTGGGGTGGAGGGCTCGGGGTGAAATCGATGTGGACTTGTGCACCTCGAGAATCGATCCGCCTTGTGATTCGCCCTGAGCAGATTCAAGCCTCGAGAATCCATCGAAACAGCATTTCAGATTTCACCCTTTGCCCTGCACCCAAAGAAAATGCTCGGGAAGGGGGGGGGACGGGGGCGGTCTGGCTCCGGACCTCTGCTTAACGCGAATGTTTGCAACAGTGCGTCCTATGGGGGATACTCCACCTGCTTGAAACAGGTTCCAGAAACAGAGCCAAGATCTACTCCATTGGGGGGGGGCAGGGGCCTGCGCCCATGGGCAAAACAATGAATAAGAAAACGACAACAAATCGCCCCGAGCCGTCAGAAGATGCTTCAATACAGCATCAGCCGCTGCTTGTGGCGGGTAGGCGTCGACGGCTCAGCGATGACAGGCAGAGCGCTCCAAACGAGCGCTGATTTTCTGAGCAGGGGCACGCGGACCGCTCTCGACCCCCCAAAACCTCCGACATCTCTTTTATGTTTCAGTGGGGGGTCCCAGAACTCTGGCCCACTTTCCGTACAACGTGGTTTAGTGAAAACGACCTCGGGCCCAAACCTGTCCCCCCCCGAAATTTCCTGGGACCAGTTTTTCGCTCCAGATCGTATTTTGTCGGTTCCAGGCCCTGGCGAGGGCCTCGAGAAACGCCGAAGATGACAGCAACAGATCTCCGCCTTGATTGTTGTCAATACGTTGGGAGCCGGGGCTCAAAAGGCGATCTCCGCTGTTGGGGGGGCACAAGAGGCTGCCACTTGGATAACCACGGGGGTTCTCAGGGGACAGGAGGGGTTTAAGCGGATGTTCAGGCAAGATATGTCTGACCTAACCTATCCCATGAGTGGGTTGCAGGTGCCCCAAGCGGCTTGCTGGGGGCAAGATCTGGGCTAGCCCCAGTACCAGAATTACATAACACCCTTAAGTCACCAGAAGCATTCTGGGGGTAAGCCCGCTCATGAGCTAGCTCAGGTCATCTATGATCCCTGGTCGCGGGTTGGCAGGGCCCCCCCACCCCAGATGGGATGGGTCCCATGGTTCCACAGGCCCCCCCCAGTCCCAGGATGGGCCTCGGAAAGACAACGACGACGACAATGACGCCGACAGAGACGCCGACTCTGACGCCGACGCCGACGCCGACGCCGACGCCGACGCCGACGCCGTCGCTGCCGACGGGCGACGACGACGTCAACGACGACGACAGGCGACAACGGGCGACGACGACGACGACGACGACGAGCCACCCCACGCCCACAGGGGGGAGGGAGAGGGGGGGCACCAGCACCCTCCACCACGCCATGCCCACGGGGCTACGACCAGGGGAGGGGCGCCATCCCACTCGCGAGGCCTCCCCGAGGCCCACGGGCGTGCCCATCCAGCGGGGGGGCGGGGCTCCATCCCATATGCATTGGGGGGGGGCGCAGCCCAGGATCATACAGTGGAGGCCAGCCCACAAGAAACCTTCCACACGAAACCCAGCCCTGAGACCCCAGGACGTCCACTGAATTTTTGTGTGAACGTCACGCCGTCCATGGCAAAGCCATCGAAACCCAAGAAACCCAGAGCACCCTGGAGGCAAGCAGGGTTTTGCTTGGCATGGGTCTCTAATCTATCTAGCCCGCCTTCACTTCCCCTCATCGACGCGTTCGACCATGGGGCCTTCGGCTTTTTCGGCGGCCTGCGGCGGCCTCTCTAACAGTTTCTGTCGGTCTTCGAGGGGGTCCGATGGTTCTTCGGGGGGGTCCGATGGTATTTTGCGGACTTCGGCAGTCTTCTGCGCGAGAACTGGATATAGTTGCGGTCAACAACGGGCCCATGATCGAACACCTCCGCTCATTACAGCCCACCACCACCACGTCCTCCAAGCAGGGCTCTTCCACACCACATGAAGCGCCGGCGCCCGCCTGCCGACGCCCTCAACGCGCCGAGGCCGCACGGGCATGCCGCAGGGGAGAGGTAGCGAGGGGGGGGACTGGAGAAACAAAAGTTGCACAAACAGAAACTTTGGGAGCTTGGGCGTTGCCGGATGGGGTGGGGGGGGCGAATCATGGGGGGAAGAGAGACGTAGTTAACCCTTTCGTCTCCCTGTTGGGCCCTGGGGTGCCCCTTTAGGGCCCCCTTAGAGTACAAGAGATGTAGCTTTTTCTTCCCCCCCACCGTGTATCGCCCCCCATTGCGCAGCACCGCGGACGGGAGGCATGCCCTGAACCCTGGATCCGCCGTACGTTTATTTGTTTTTCGATTGAGAATCGTCGGGGATGCACCCGGGACGATGCGGACGAAAAAAAAGAATTCCGCCTCAGAGGGCTAGGGCCCAGGCTCCCGCAAGGATGTGGCGGAAACAGCGACGGCAAAGCAGGGCGGCCATCGACCACAAAAGAGCTTGAGCAGCAGGGCGGAGAATCGGGGCCCTACGTGCGAGGACGCCCAAAGTGCGGCGGACCTGGAGCCAGGGCTGAGGGCAGGCTCTTCGCACAAAAATGCAACACCGCTGCACAACCAGAGCCTGCCCGAGCTCCGCGCGGACTTCCTGGGCCGGCGCAGGACACCCTTGGGGCGCGCGGAGCGCGCTGGGGACGGCGCCCGTCGCGTCGCCAGGAGGGCCCAGCGCAGATCCAGGAAATCCGTGCAGAGGGAGCTCCGAACACTTTTATGCTTACAGTGGGGGCGTTGACCTAAGGAACGCTAAATAAGGAACGAGGCCCCTTTTTCCCATCACTTAAAGTTCGATTTCCCATCGAAAACCTAAGGACAACCTAAGGCAAGCTGCGAAACAATCAAGGAACACGGAGCCCCTCCCCAACGAAAATGGTTCCTTCTTCAGGGCCCCGACTGTACGGCCATCGTGCTGCCAGTAAGGAGCGCTGCAGAAGACGCGAACGGGCGCTCCTGGCCACGGTGGGCCTGGGCCACACACCCACACACACACACACGGGCTCCGCAGCTCAACTCTCAGGCACGGCCCGAACACACGAGGCCCTCCTGAGCTCCAAACGGTCCTTACTTCAGCGTCCTGGGGGAACCGAGAAGCACCGATACCGCTACAGTCATCGGCCTGACCTAAGGAACGATAAATAAGGAACGAAGCCCCTTTCTTCCAAGGAATAACGCATAGGGAACGATGAACGAATAGTAAGTAACACATAGGGAGCGATAAATAACGCATGCAAGCCTAAGGAACGACCGAGCCCCTTTTGAAAAGCAAGCGCTCCTTACTCAAGCCGCTCACTGTACTCTCCCCTGGACCCCCTCCCCGGGGTGCGATCTGGCGAGGGCTCCGCAGCGAGCCCGGCCAGAGCGACGAGGGCCTCACGGGAGGCCGAGCCAGGCGAGCACGGGGCGAGACCGGCGGTATCGGTACCTCTTCCTCCTCGGGAGGTCCTGGCGGAGCTCCGAGCGTTTCGGAGGGGGGCCCAGGGATGCACAAAGAAATGTACAAATCCCAAGCTCCCCCAGATGATATCAGATCCTCTGCTCCCCCCCCCCCAACATCCTACATTTTCCCGTCGCTTCCTGGGACTCGACGATGACTTGCCTGTGTTTTTTGTTGGTCCCTCCTGAGTCCTATGCTTCGTGCAGCTCAGTTTGTTGACTCGAAGGCCGGAGGGCCGGCGGGCCGCACTCTCACCCGTCCAAGAACTCCAGGTGCAGGGCGATGGCCGGGTCCCCCACCTGAGCATCGTCTGACCGACACCCAGCCCCGCCGGCGTGGCCGCGGGCCCCACTGGCCGCTTGACCCCCACAGCTGGGGGTGTATACGAGACGAGGCCAGGACGAGGACCAAGTCGGGGGAGGATACACATCGAGAGCCTCTGAGATCCGGCGGCCCTTGAGGATGGCACTGGCGCCGCGGCCTTCTCAGAGCGTTCCAAGACGCTCTGGGAGCGGTCTGGAATGCTCTGGAACGGACTGACCCTCATCCTGGCCCCGTCTGGCCATCCCCGCTGGCGTGGCCTGGGCCCCACTGGCCGATTTCCCTGCAAAGATGCGGGTATGGGCTGTTCCTTCGGTTTCGAGTGGCCTATTCCCACCCGAGGTGGCGGGATGGCATTGGTGGAGCTGGGAAACCATGGCCCAGTGGGCATGGGGCCAGGATAGGCTGAACGACACCGACCACCAGGCAGCCCTCCTCCACGTGGCGCGCGTCCTGCGCGAGAGCGCAGGGCAGACAGCAGCACAGGGCGAGGCAGTCGGCCGCGTAGGTGCTGGCGGAGCTCTCCATCTTGAACCTTCTCATGGCAACTCAGGGGGCCTTCAATACCCTCCGAACTCCGTCTGTAGAATGCACTAGCGTCGAATATCGCCTGGTAATCGATGAGACAGCGCCGATGTGGCGCCGGTTAGCGTATATCCAGCGTCGATACGCAAGAAACAACCAGACTGTATGGTGGCCATCTTGCTGGTTCTTGCGGATCGACGCTGGCCGACGCTACTGGACGCTTGCCGACGCTAGATCGACGCGAGATCGATGCTAAATCGAAGCTAAGTCGACGTTAAGCCTATACACTACTCGACGCTAGCTACATCGACGCTAATCGACGCTGGATCGGCACTCTCTTTTCGATCACCAGATGCTAGCGCCACTAATTCACTCTAAAGACGGAATTCCTCCGACATACAAGGCTCCCATGATTTGCTACCGAATTCAACCTCCTGCGCAGCCTCTGGCGGAAGTAGAACAGGCCCGCAATGACGGCCACCCCGAAGATGCCGAAGGTGAGCTCCGTCATCAGGACGGCAAGCGTGGACAGCCACAGGGCGCACCAGAAGCTCATGATGCCGACCGTGTGCATGGAGTCCGCCCAGCGCACGCAGGGGCACGCCAGCGACCAGAACAAGACGCGCGGCTCCGAGCAGCAACCAAGCAGCAGGCCAGAGCTCCACTCCCTCATGTCCGCGCCACGCCGCGCGGGGTCAATCTCTGGGCGGGAGCGGCAAGAGTCGTAGTACGCCAGGGCGACAAAGCCCACCAGGGCGACCTTTGGGAAACCAGGAGGCACCGATACCTCCACTCCGCGGACCTCTCCGGGGTGTGTTCTGACCATGATTTCGAGGCGAACCCAGCGGTGGGGACGATGGCCTCACAGGAGGCCCACAACAGCGAAAACGAGGCAAATCCAGCGGCATCGGTACCTCATCCTGCGCTGAGCGGTTGCGTGATAATCGGCCCTAACCTTAAAAAGGTGACTGCCCATGTTGGGACATAGATATACATGGACAACTCTCTGCCGTTATATGGTTGATTCTGAGCTACGTGTACATCGCATCCTGAGTGGATGGACTGGGAAAGAGGCGTGTCACTCCTCTACACAAACTGTGCCACCATTTGTGGCCACCGCGATCGCCGCGGCGACCTCCCAAACCGACCCAGAGGTTTGGTTCGAGGCCGGATATCTCGCGACGATGAGACTTGGAAACAGTCTGGGAGTCCTGAACGGGTTGGGACCACAGAAAATCGGTCAGGAAGGGATGGGGCCAAATCCTTCCAAAATCGGTCCCCGGACCCCTCCAGGGCTCCACCTGGTGCAATTTTTTGCTCCAGATCTGTTTTCGACGGTCCCAGGGCCCGAAACTGGCCCCCCGAGGCAGAACAAACACAATAACCTCCTCCAACCCAGAGCCTCGAACCTCTTCCTTACCCCCCCCCTGCTGGCCAGAGCCAGTGCTGGGCGACCTTGGACCCCCGGCCGTCAGACGAAGCCAGGATGAGGATGAATTCGGCGGAGGACAAGTCGAGAATCTCTGAGATCCGGCGGCTCTGGAAAATGTCTCGGGCGCCGTGGCCCTCTCAGGGCGTTCCAGAACGCTCTGAGAGCGTTCTGGCACGCTCTGGAACGGATCGTGTCCTCGTCCCAGCCCCGTGGGAAGCAGGCTCCAAGTTCGAGGTCGGAGATCACGCCACTTCGAGACCTGCAGGACGAGCACGGCGGCCATGAGGCACAGCATCTCGCTGGTCAGGCGCCGCGTCCTTCGGTGGCAACTCATGGCATGGGAGCCTCCCACACCATCTCGTCGGCTCTTGCGAATCGACGCTTAGCGACGCTGAATCGACGCTAAATTAACGCCAAATCGACGCTGAACCGATCCTATCCCATTGACTCCCAGACGCTAATTGGCGCTGGTCGACGCTGAAGACGGACTTCAGAGGGTATACCAGGCTCCCATGGACCATGTATCTGCGCTGGACACCCCCCCCTGGCGCGCGGCGCCGCCAGGGGGGACCAGGCGCAGACCCAAAAGATCCGCGCGGAGCGCCCAAAATTATTGAGCATCGTTTAACCGATCCCTGTCCCTACCTCCGTGGCCTGGGCCCCACTGGCCAGTTTACCCCCTGAGATGGGGATATAAGCAGGTCCTGTCAGACTTCGAAGGGTATATCCCCAACTGGGGGGATGAGATGGTGGGGGTCTGGATGGGGATGGGGATGGGGATGGGGATCGGTTAAACGATGTTGATTTATGTTCGTGCCGTCCCAGAAGGGCAACGTCCTGATTTTTGTCAGCATCACGCCCCGGAAGTCCCGACCCTTTCCCCGCGACTGGCGTTTATCCTGAATCGTTCTTTGATGACGGTCTCGGGGCCCGGCGAGGGCCCCCCCCCCGAGGCCGAACAGGGACGTAAGAACCTCCCGTCGCGATTTTTGTTTTGGGGGGGGCGACGCGATCGTGCCTGGGGCTTTTGCTTGTTAGCATTCTTCTTCTTCATCTTCTTATTCGTCTTCTTATTCCCAGTTTTTTATCATTATTATTACTATTCTTCTTCTTCTTCTTCTTCTCCTTCTTCTTCTCCGCGCGTCCCGCGGCCCTCGGCCGCCAGGCCCCGGGCAAACTCCCGCACGGCCGCGCGCAGCTCCGCCCGTGCGCCCCGCCACGCCTGCCCCGGCCGCGGCCCCGCGGGCCCCGCGGGCTCCGCGGGCTCCGCGGGCTCCGCCGCGCCGCCGCGCGCCACGGGCGCCTCCTGAGGAGGCAGAGCAGGGCCAGGGAGCCCAGGGACACACACGCACGCACGCACGCACGCACGCACGCACGCACGCACAGACACACACGCACGCACACACACACACACACACACACACACACACACACACACACACACACACGCACGCACGCACACGCACGCACACGCACACACACACACAGACACAGATACAGACACAGACACAGACACAGACACAGACACAGACACACACACACACATACACACATACACACATACACACACACATACACACACAGACAGCAAATACACGCCCAGGCCCCCTCGCGGCACGGAAAAAAAAGATCGTGACAGGGGTGTTTGCTCGCCATTTTCGGCCTCCAGGGGCCCTCGCTGGGCCTCGGGGCTGTGAGAGAACGGCTCAGGATGAAAGACCAGTCCCCGGGAAAGGGTCCAAGCGCCTGGAGGTCACGTCACGAATCCGCGGATTTTCTGTATTTTCTCATTCGTTTTCTTGATAGTCGTCTTCCCCCCCACGTCACATTCTTTTCCACATTTTTTTCCAATCGACGATGATTTGTGCTTGTGTGCTTTTTCCCCTTTTATCATGTTAAGAAAATCCCTTCGGGCACCGTGTGGGCCCAGCTCTGGAACAGGAACTTTTTGCTGCGAGCCCGGGGGGAAGTGAGGAGGGGCGGGCCTTATCAGGAGGCTCGGAAGTCCCCAGGCCTTCTGAGAAGAGTTCTGAGCCTCCCCCGAAGACGCAGAAAACTCCTCAGAAGGCACGAGAGCTGCTGAGAAGACCAGCCGCCATCTGGAGAGGCCTTCTCCTTTTCACTTCCCCCCCTCGCTCGCCGCCGGAACACACCGTAGACGGACCGAGACACTCTCCGACCCTGTACTGCGCCAAGCGCAACGGCCGCGTTGTCTTTAGAGGCCTCCACCCCGAATGCGCCTACACATCATCCAGCCGTGGCGACGAGGGCCCTCCAGGCAGAGCACCCCTGCACCTGTCCCAAACACCCGACGTCTCGATGTTTGCCGGACGCGGGCCCCCGACCTCTCGACATCTTCCCCAGGACCAGCTTCTCCTGGCGTGTAGCGGCTCTCTTCCGCAAATCTACCAGACCCAACCGCCCAGAAAATCATGATCCCCAGTGCGAAGACGGGGACCTCCGTGAGGCCCCTCCTGCATCGTGTCCACCAGGGTATTGGAGGGCCTCCTGTGCCCAGTGATCCTTGGACGACCACGAGGCCCGGCGAGGGCCCCGAGAGGCCGAAGAGGCGGCGAAACGCGCCCCGTCGGGGGGACCCGCCCGCGCGCACCGCCGCGACGCTGCCCCCGCCCCCGCCGCCGCTCAGCGTCCTCCGCGAGCCGCGGCGCCGCCCGCGCCGCACGCGCCGCCGCGCCGCGCCGCCCGCGGGCCCGCGCCGGGCCGGCCGCGGCCGCGGCCTCGGCCTCCGCCCGCCCGCGGGCGGCGCCGGGCCGCGGCGGGGCCTCGGCGCCGCCCGGGGCCGGGGCCGAGGCGGGCCGCGGGTGCGCGGCGGCAGGCCGCGGCGGGCCCGCGGTGGCCTCGGCGTCGGGCGGCGGGTGCCTCGGCGGCGCGGGCCGCGGCACCTGTGCGGCGGCAGCTCGGGGGGGGGCCGTCCCGTGCCACCCTGCTGGCTCCTGCGGGGCGACGCTGGATCGACGCTGGATCGGCTCGGGTCGAAGCTAAGTCGGCGCTCCCTCGTCGATCACCAGACGCCAACGCAGGCCAGTGCACCCCCAAAAACCTAAATTCTGAGGGGTATTCAGTCGGGGGTTGCCAAAGGTGCCCCTGGCCAAAGGTGCCCCCAGCCTGTCGCTCCATTTTGGAGTACCTGGGTACCTGGGGCCCTTTGGGCCTTATTAGGGGTGCTCTGGAGGCCGTGGGGGCCTCCTTGGAAACCCTGGGGGCCTCTGGGCCTGGGGGCACCCCTGGCATCACCAGAAGAGAATCCGAACTCGAAGAGAACCGCCCGGATCGAAACAAAAAGCACGTTGTCGGAGATCTGGCCCCCCCTCCATCATCCCCCTGTTCCTCCTCAATTGCACTGCCGTAGCCAAAGACAACTTCTTGACGTGTTGGGCGGGGCGCACAGCGCGTTTGGCTAGGAGACTTCCCCACAAATGATGGCCATGAAACTTGACCTTCCCACACGGCTCCAGGCATGGGCAGCGGGTGGCTTCAAAAAACTGACTCCAGCCCAGGCCCCCTCGCGCCGTGAAAAATCACATCGCCGGAGATCTGGCTCCCCCTCCACCATCCCCCAGTTCCTCCGCCACTGCCCTGCCCTGCCAAAACTAGCCTGGCGAAGAACCCCAACCATACAAAGTTGTGAGCACCGCAATTGTGAATACGATCTGAGGGGAAGCTCCTTAGCCCGCAAGCGGGCGGTGCCCCTGGGGCCTACAGTGGAGCTCCCTGTAGAGCCACGGAAAAAAGTGTGAAGGGCGTGCCGTAGCGGGAGTGTCGCCCAAATGCGGGCTGCGCCACTGGGGCCGTAGGCAGACCTCCCTGTGGCCACGAAACGTGTGAGGGGTGTGCCGGAAAAAATGGAGTCGCCCACATGCGAGCTGCGCCAGTAGGCCTTAGGTGGAGCCCCCTATCGGGCCAGGAACTGTGTGAGGGGCTTGCCGAAACTAGGGTGTCGCCCACATGCGAACGGTGCCACATGGGCCTTAGCTGGAGCTCCATATGGGGCCACGAATCGTGAGAGGGGTATGCCGAAACGGGGGCGACGACCGCATGCGAATGGCGGCACTGGGGCCGTAGATGCAGCTCCCCGTGGGGGCCACGAAACGTGTGAGGGGCGTGCAGAAACGGGGGCGACGCCCACATGCGAACGGTGCCACTAGGGCCTTAGCTAGAGCTCCCTATGCGGCCACGCCGAAATGGGGATGACGCCCACATGCAAACGGTACCACTGGGGCCGTAGTTGGAGCTGCCTATGGAGCCACAAAACGTGTGAGCAGTGTGCAGAAACGGCGGCGACGCCCTCATGCGAACGGTGCCACCTGGGCCTTAGCTGGAGCTTCCTATGGGGCCACGACGCGTTTGAGGGGTGTGCCGAAACGGGGGCGACGACCGCATGCGAATGGTGCCACCTGGGCCAAGCGTGTGAGGGGTGTGCCGAAACGGGGATGACACCCACATGCAAACGGTGCCACTGGGGCCTTCGCTGGATCTCCCTATGGGGCCACGAAACGTGTGAGGGTATGCCAAAACGGGTGTGACGATGCCGGTGACGATGACGATGACGATGCTGATGCTGACGGTGATGATGATGATGATGATGATGATGATGATGATGATGATGATGATGATGATGATGCTGATGATGCTGATGATCATGATGCTGGTAATGATGGTGGTGATGATGATGCTGATGTTGATGATGCTGCTGATGACGATGACGATGACGATGACGATGATGATAATGGTACTAATGATGGTGATGCTGATGATGATGCTGGTGTTGATGATGAGGCCGATGGTGATGATGATGGTGAAGACGGTGATGGCGATGCAGATGGCGATGATGATGCTGCTGATGCTGATGCTGGTGCTGATGATGATGCTGATGATGCTGCTGATGATGCTGATGATGATGATGAGGATGAGGATGCGGATGAGGAGGAGGATGATGATGCTGCTGATGGTGGTGATGATGATGGCACGCGGGGAGCAGGGGCAGGCATGGGAGGAGGGAGGAGGGGGAGGAGGAGTGAGGAGTGAGACGCGGGGCGCTGTCCTTTCAAAACAGGGAGGACCCAACACCGCATGATGGTTGGGACAAAAGCGCCTCGAGGTGCTGGCGGGGCGCCCTGGGCGTTTAACCAGAGACTTCCCCGCGACTGATATACAGTGCGCGCGCGGCCGCGAGAAATCCTCGCAAGGAACCCATCCCTGAAAACACGCGCACAAGGTGCACCTGAAGGGACACCCGAAGCACCCTGAACGCAGCGGCGTCTTCAACGGCTGCGGGAAATCACCGCGCGGCACGCGTCGCAAAGAGACCAAGGGTACCCCGACGAACAGCATACGGTTTCTTGATGCGCCCCCAATGTAAAACGTGACCTTCCCACACGGCTCCAGACAGCTTGGGCCAGGGGAACTTCTAGCAACATCCGATCCAATGGGGGGGGCGGGGGGAGAGGGCTGGACTTCAAAGGAGGCGAAGGATGAGGAGGATAAGAGTAGGACGACGAGAGGGGCCACGTTGAGGAAGGAGGAGGGAGAAGGAGGAGGAGGAGGAGGAGGAGGAGGAGAAGGAGGAGGAGGAGGGGGAGGAGAACGAGGAGGGATAGTGAGGGAGGGGGGAGGAGGGGGAGGGGAGGAGGGAGGCAGGAGGGAAAGAGGGAGGAGGAGGAGGGAGGACGGAGAGGAGAGGAGGAGAGGAGGAGGAGGAGGAGGAGGAGGAGGAGGAGGAGGAGGGGGTGGAGGAGGAGGAGAGGAGAGGAGGAGGAGGAGGAGGAGGAGGAGGGGGAGGAGGAGGAGAGGAGGAGGGAGGAGGAAGCGGAGGGGGAGGGGGGGGAGAGGAGGGGGAGCGGGAGGCGGAGGAGGAGGGGGAGAGGAGAGAGGAGGAGGAGAAGGAGGAGGAGGAGAGGAGGAGGAGGAGGAGGAGGAGGAGGAGGAGGGAGAGGGGTTGAGAAGGAGGGGGAGGAGGAGGAGGAAAAGGAGGAAAAGGAGGAGGGAGGAGGGATGAGGAGGAGGGGGAGGAGAGGAGGAGGAGGAGGAGGAGGAGGAGGAGGAGGAGGAGGAGGAAGAGGAGGAGGAGGAGGAGGAGAGGAGGAGGAGGAGGAGGAGAAAGAGGAGAGCGAAGGAGGAGGAGGAGGAGGAGGAGGAGGAGGAGGAGAGGAGAAGGACCAGCGTAAACCCAAGAGTCATCAACGATGTTTGAATACACCCTCCGTCCCCAAGCTCCACTGGAGGAAAGCCTCGTTGGAAGGCACCCTATGAACTGGAGCATGCCAACAAAATGTTCTCGGGATGCCAACGTCACGGATCAAACTGACTGTTGCGTCTTGACGATCCTGAATCGTGCCAGAAAGCCATCCCTGGGACTTCAACACCGCGATTCAACGTAACTCTGACAGCCTCATAATCCAGAATCTGTCCACAATGCCATTTCTAGTACGTGGGTCAATTCCTGCAATATGTTAAAAAGAATGCGCGCGGCGCTCAGGCGAAAACCACGTTTTGAAAACGACCCGCACTCAATCCGTGAAATTCTTGCAGCTGTTTAATCAAATGTGCGCGGTGCTGAGGCGAGAGCCACATTTTGAAAACGACCCGCACTCAATCCGTGAAAATCTTGCTCAATATTGAAACGAATGCGCGCGGCGCTGAAGCGAGAACCGCATTTTGAAAAACACCCGCCCTCAATCCGTGAAGCTGTTGCCACGTTTTAAGCTTCAGGGTCATTAGTGGTGAGGAGATCTCAGGCGAAACGCACAGCCCGCCGTAAAAACTCGCCTCGGGGTGCGACAGGGAGAAGTTACGTATCAGGAAGAGGCATAGAGGAGGAGGAGGAGGAGGAGGAGGAGGAGGAGGAGGAGGAGGAGGAGGAGGAGGAGGAGGAGGAGGAGGAGTAGGAGGATGAGGAGGGGAGGGTCTGCTGCCGACCGGCACCTGCAGCAGCGCATTCTCCTCCGCGGCACAGCGTGGCGCCGCGCCCGCGCGATGCGCGCCGGGGGGCGGCGCTCCCACGGGGCAGCGCTCCTCGCCGTCCTCTCGGGGCACTGTTGGACGCCTCCAAGACAACGCCAGTCTCCTCATCATCATCCTCCTCCTCCGCCTCCTCCTCCTCATCCTCCTCCTCCTCCGCCCGCGGCGAAGCACCGCGGGGCAGGGTGGAGCCGCGCCGGGAGAGGGGCAGACCTTCATCAGACGGGCCCCCCCGAGTAAGACGAAGCCATGACGAGGATTAATTCGGGTGGGGATGAGTCGATAATCTCTGAGATCCGCCGGCTCTGGAGAATGTCTCGGGCGCCGCGGCCTTCTCAGAGCGTTCCAGAAACGCTCTGAGAGCGTTGCAGAAGGCTCTGCGACGGACTGCATCCTCGTCCTGGCCTCCCGTCCGAGACAGCGCAGCACACCCCCGCATGGCACCCCCAAGGGCAGCAGGGGGGAAGAAGGGAGTCGAGGAGCAGGAGGTCGGCAGGGGACCCGAGATGCAGCTGGAACAGGGGCGAGATCACGGGCATGTGCTGATGGGCCTGTTTTCCACCACCACCACCACCAGAAGTTGGATGGGGAGGGGGTCCTCCTCCTCCTCCTCCTCCTCCTCCTCCTCCTCCTCCTCCCGCCTCCCCCTCTGCGTCCTCCTCCTCCTCCTCTGCGCCCTCCTCCTCCTCCTCCTCCTCCTCTTCCTCCTCCTTCTCCTCCTCCTCCGTCCCCCCATCCAACTCATGATGATGGTGGTGGAAAATACGCCCATCATGTGCACCTTAGTGTATATTTCACCACGAGTAGCCAACCAACCACAAGTAATCGCCATGCAGGCGAGAGAGCACGATCCCCGAGTAGATTGCACGGACGTCGCGAGCGCAACGGCTGCTGGACAGGCGATCTCGACCGGACAGTCCCGGGGCTCCCTCTCCCCCCTGTGGGACGTTCTGAGGCCCTTTCCAGAACCACTACGAGCACCATCTCTAGAGAAACCGTGAGGGAAAAATCACACATGGTGCAGAAATCACGACGGGAGGCGTTTGCCCGTATTCGGCCTCCGGCCCCGCGCGGGGGGGCCCGAAGAGGGGCCCCAAGAGGCCGAGATCGACGAAGCAGGCCCGGAAGGAGACAACTACGAGAGGAACAGAACCCGCAGACATGCGAGGCCCTGATTTTTCCAGAGCGGCGTCCCCGGAAGTCCCGACCCCTTCCCTGGGACCGGTTTTTCATCATCCTGCGTCGTTTTTGGACGGTCCCGAGGCCTGGGGAGGGCCCCCCGAGGCCGAAAAGGAACAACAACCTCCCGTCCTGATGTTTTCTCACGGCGCGATCCTGTCTGGGAGCACGACGCCTCGAAGGTCAGCGCGGGTTCCTTGGATCGGCGCCGGACCCCCCGCGCTGGCGGCGCGGAGCGCGCCAGAGGCGGCGCCAGGCGCCCGAGGACGCACGTCCGTGGCGTTCCGTGGCCACTCGGAGCACACACGCGTCGGCCGAAGGAAGTTGGGCAACACGTGACGTTAGGAAAGCGGAGTTGACGCAGATGGGGCTCAGGCCCTCCCAGAAAATACAACAACACGCAGCAAGAGCAGATCGACTCTCGGAGCAGGCGGGCGCCTGAAGCAGATCAGGACCTGTCATCCAAAAAAGCCTACTTTCAACAACCGGCGTGTCACCGCCGTCGGAGAGATGAGCCCTCAGGCCCCACGCCGCAGCCTCTTTCGTAGCAGAAGCCCTCAGACCATTCGAAGCTGAAGGCCTCCTAGATGGGGTCGAAGTAGATGGGGTCGGACTTACGGTGGAGGTGGTGGAAAGTAAGCCCATCATCGCGCCGCATAGCCGATGCATCGCGCGCCGACCTCGCATCGGGAAGAGCTGCTGGCGCAGGAGCCAGCAAGATGGCACGGGAAGCTCCGAACCCCGCTCCCCGCTACCCGCCTCTCCGCCCTCACGGCTGCACGCGGCGATCCTCCTCCTCCTCCTCCTCCTCCTCCTCCTCCTCCTCCTCCTCCTCCTCCTCCTCCTCCCCATAATCATCATTTCATTATCACCATCACCATCACCATCCCCTCACCATCACCATCACCATCATCATCATATCCATCATCACCAGCATCATCAGCAAGCAGCATCATATCATCATCATCATCATCATCATCATCATCATTCATCATCATCATCATCATTTTTCATCATCATCATCATCATCATCATCATCAGCATCAGCATCTCATCTCCTCATCATCATCGCATCATCATCATCATCATCATCATCATCATCATCATCATCATCATCATCATCATCATCCATCATCATCATCATCATCATCATCATCATCATCATCATCATCAGCATCAGCATCATCATCATCATCATCATCATCATCATCATCATCATCATCATCATCATCATCATCATCATCCCTCCCCCTCCTTCCTCCGCCGCCTCCTGGCAGCCCTCGATCCTCGAGACGACGACGACGGCGGCGGCGGCGGCGCCCCGCGGCGGGAAGCCGTCCTCGCCGCGCCCGAGCGCGGCGGCCACCGCCAGTGCGGCCAGCCACCGCACGAGGAGGACCCGCGGCCTTGCGCCCCCGCCGGGCGGCATGGGGCCGTGCGCTGGGCCGACTTCCCACCACCACTACCAGAAATTAGGTAGGGGAGGAGGAGGAGGAGGAGGAGGAGGAGGAGGAGGAGGAGGAGGAGGAGGAGGAGGAGGAGGAGGAAGAGGAGGAGGAGGGGGAGGAGAAGGAGGGAGGAGGAGGAGGGGGTGGCGGAGGAGGTGGGGAGCAGGAGGAGGTGGAGGAGGAGGAGGAGGAGGAGGAGGACCTCCTCCTCCTCCTCCCGTCTCCCCCCTCATACCTGTGGTAGTGGAGGCGGAAAACGGGCCCATCACCGTCCGCTGGGAGGGGGGCCGCGCCGCGGGCCGGGCGGCCGCTTCGGGCCGCTGGAGGGAAGATGTTCTTTTCCTCGCAGAAGCCCGAGATCCTGGCGTTCCAACTTTTCTGCGCAGCGGGCGTGTTCGCCCGGTTTCGGGCCCCGGGGCCCTCACGGATCGATCCGGCTCGCACTCTGACGCAGAAAGATGGGATCTAGGGTACTGGGGGTATTTTTGACGACGTTGCATTTTTTCGTCGCGTCGGCTCTCAGCGAACCTCACTGGTGACAGAAGAACGTCGCGATGCAAGGCGAGGGCCGCCGAGAAGGACGACGGGACGAGCACGATGTCATGATGAGATGGGCTCACGATGCGCTTCAGGAATTCCGGAGCACACGCGTGTCGGAAGAAGTGGGTCGAAACATGAAGTAGGAAGGCGTTGATAATATAATGGGCTTCCGCGCGCCTGAGAAGGATGGAAAAAGAAAACCAATCGATCCTTGAAGTAGGAGGGCGCCTTAACGTGGATCGGGACCTCGGAATCCGGAAATGCACACTCTCAAAGACCGACGGGTCTCTAGCAACCCTTGAGTCTGGCGCCTGTGCGGAACACCGGGGGAACTCTGGAAAGCCGTGGAGAAGACGTGGGAAATCTGGGAAAGTCGCGGGAAACGTCGCGGGAAGTAGATTGGGATCTGGGACACCGTGCCGCACCTTGGTGAGGAGGAGGAGGAGGAGGAGGAAGGAGGAGGAGGAGAAGGGGGAGGGAGGGAGGATGAGGAAGGAGGAGGAAGGAGGAGGAGTATAAGTAGGAGTAGGAGTAGGGGTAGGAGTCAAGCTAGGCCAGCTCGAGCGAGTCAAGCATGGCATGCCCACTCCCACCCGCCCTCCCACAACATAAGAAGCAAAACTGGCACAACTGGGGGCCGAAGTCACACCGGCCAGCCGGTTTGGTACAGCTGATGCGGCCGCGATGCGGTTGCCGACGGGAACTGGCGAGCGCGTGTTGAATGCTGCGCACGCATTGCCAGACGAGTCGAGAATGGCCCGGTACACCGCAGGAAGCCAGAGGTGGCCGGAGGAAGCCCGACGGTCTGACAGGACACCCCAAAGCATTTTTGTGAAAAAGCATTGGGTTTTTGATGTTTTTATTTTGAAATGCTTGCAAACACACGGTGTTCGGTAGGATTCTGACATGAACGCGCGAGTGTGCTCTTTGTGGTATTTTTTGCACAGGATTCGCGGCCTGGGTGCATGACAGAGCATCGCGAGTGCACCGCGCGATGACGTGAAATCGCTGGATTTGACAGAATTCTTAAGATTCCTATGGTTATCCTATGATTTCAGCAAGAGAGCCCGGGCGGGAAATTTGTACAATTTTTGTGAAAAAAAACATTGGGTTTTTGATGTTTTTATGTTGAAATGCTTGCAAACACAAGGTGTTCGGTAGGATTCTGACATGAACGCGCGCGTGTGCTCTTTGTGGTATTTTTTGCAATGGATATCGCCGTGGACGACAGGACGTCCATGTCGAGAGGAAAAAATAAGAAACATGTTGATTTTGTATTGTTTTTTACAGGTTAGGATGGACCAAAACCCGAGCGGCCCGAGCTCTCCGGCCTGAGGGGGAGGGTAGGAGTATATTCGAATAAGGAATAAGGATCGGAGTAGGAGTAGGAAGAGAAGGAGGAGAAGGAGGAGAAGGAGGAGGAATGATGAGGAGGAGAAATTGTTTCCACCGCAGGCGCACACACCAATTCCATGTGTCTAGTCCGTTCTAAGCATCTCAGCGAGCTCTGGGCAACGCGCAGTCAGTCATGCAAAGGGCAGGGGAGGGGCAGCAGCAGAGGCAGGGCAAAGAGAAGCGGCGGCGGGCACTCTGCTCCGAGTGTACAGGACCCCTGGCGGGCGCGCGCCCCCCCAAGGCACGCCGTCCAAAAGGGGATCACACACTCGAGCATCCTTCCCACGCCACACTCACTCCTCGGCTGACCGAGGGCCCAACCCACAGCGCAGCAGGCAGAAGCAGACAAAAGGGGCACGCCCCAAAAGGAGAACCCAACACACAAACCGAGGGAACAGCAGACAGCAGGCCTCCACAGTGCCACGAACTTCGTCGGGAACCTGAGGGCGAGAGGGGAGCGCTCTCTCGCGCGGAGCGGCAGCCGGGGTGCCTCGAACTTCGTCGGGGACCTGAGGGCGACGGCGGGGCGCGGCAGAAGGGGGTGACCTCCTCCGCGCCAGACGCAACGGGTGTCTGGAGGCGCCACGGCTTGGCGTCGCGGGAAGGCCTGCCTACCCTACAGGAGCGACGCTCCATCGACGCCCGAGCGAACCAGACCGTTCCGCCCGTCAGAGAACCTGTAGCTCAAGGACAGCAAGAGCGGCGGGGCAGGCAAGAGAGGCGGGGCGGCCGCGGGGCGGGCGGCGGAGAGAGGCTGGGGGGCGGCGGCGCGGCAAGAGAGGCACTCTCTCTCACGAGCAGTCCACCGCAACTGACAGCATGCCTCTCCCAAGAGAATGCCCGAAGCGGCACCTCACCATCTTCGCCTGCAAGCGGAGAGGGTCACATGGAGCACAGAGCAGTGCCCCTAACCCAGGCGACAACGCGGGGCCCTGAATTAACCAAGAGACGAGACAGAGCGGAGGGAAAGCACAAAAGAAAAAAAAAAAAAAACCTCGGAAACCCAGTCAGCCAACCGAGAGACCCACCAGGGTCACATCTAACTCTGACAGCATCATGCGTGGACCTATACCTAGGGGGGGCACAGGGAAAAGGGTGGACAAAGAAGGGGGACACGGCCAACCCAGGAGGGGAGGGGCACGGCAGGAGGAGCAGGAGCGGCAGCAGCAGCATCATTCAACCGAAGCACACGCAACGCCTCGTTAAGCTTGGGGTGCCGACGGGGCAACTGCCGAAGCCTGGCTTTAATAAGAAATTCCCCCGGCTGGGCCGAGCCAGTCCTGCGAGCGTTATGCGCGGCCAGAAAACAATCAATTCGGGCGCGCCCCACTAGGTCACGTGACCGCCCCCACTGTGGCCCCAGACAACACAGAGTGAGGAGCCAATCCTCACCCGTCAGAGCTGCGGTCCAAGGCCTCAGAAGTCCGCCACGGGGGAATATGTCAATCAACCCAGCCTTCAACTTGGGGCACACGCGATAATGCCTCAGATCGTCGTCAGCCGCTTCCAGAGGACACCCAAACGCGCAGCCCACCACCGTGGTATGCAGACGACTGGAGGTACAGACTCCTCGGCAGAGCACTCTAAGGACCCCCGTGACGGGGTGCATCGCGCTGTCCATCTCAACTTTACGCATCCTCTGGACAAACACCTGAAAGTCAGCTACCGTAAAACGGCCGGGACCCACCCACTTGGACACCCTCTGAACCATAGTGCGGAGGGGAACAGTGGGGTCTCGGAGCCCTCTGAGCTTGCGCATCGCTTTCTTCTGAAGGGATTTCTTGGGGATGGGTCCCAGGGTCGGGATCGAGAAGTTGCCTACTTCAGTCACCGTGGCCCTGATCCAGGAAGACTTCCACCAGGGCCAGCTCAGGCGAGCAGGGAAACCGTCAACGACTCCATCTCATACTGGACAGCATTAATACTGGGGCAAGACATCAACACCCGTAACTTGATAGCCTTCGAAAAACAATCGATGTCCAAACATACTAAAGAGGCCCCCAACGATCGCATGCCCGTTAGCATCTCCCTTGAGAAGGCATGGCGGGGACCAGCAGCAATCACCTGTAGGGCCTCATTATACGCTTTCCGAAGAGCCGTGGTCACTGGACAGAGTTGTAACTGGTATGCCAAAATCGACATGCAATGCAAGTGGAAGAGGCGAATGGTCTGTGGAAGCCCCAGTCCAAGCCCACGAAGCCTCCGAAACGTCATCCAGAACTTGGGGATGGTGTTGCTCCATGCTCTGTCCAAAGCCCCAGGCCGGAGCCAGAATCCCAAGTATAAAACAGCGCGAACAAACCCGATGCGGTGGTACTCACTCCCCTTGGCTCGAAGGTGGGCAACTAACCTATCAGGATCAAGCGAGCCGATCACCAATACCTTACATTTGGGAATGTTCAGCCCAAGTCCCACGGCATGTTCCAATTTCCGAAGGAGCGAGAGCGTCGGCTGGAGGTCAGTCAGGATGTTGGGAAGGCAGAAAGAGAGATCATCCGCGTAGGCTCTGATCCGAGGGACATGGCCAGTGAGCTTGGCCCTCATCCAACGCAATACTGGGTTTAACGCATAAGCGAATAGAAGCATTGAAGCAGGGTCACCTTGCCGCACACTACGCCCACCGAAAACGCAATACCAGTAGTCCCAGGGAAGTCGATAACAGCCACACTGTCACGGTACAACTCACGAAAAAAACCACAAACCTCGCCAGAAACACCCATAGCCTCCAAGACCGCCAAGATCCAGGATACGATCAGAGAGGGGAACGCAGCCTTAAAGCCCGTGAAAAGAATGCCCGAGCGGTCCCCACCAGGAGATTGTTTTTTTATTCTGGCCGATAACGCTCGTTACCCGGGGGGGGGGGGGGGGCGTCCTCCCCTCCCCGGTGGGGGGCCCCTCGGGTAACGGTAACGCTTGGGCTGGGCGGGGTATGGCGAGGCAGGGGCGCTCTGCGATCGCCATAGTATGCGCGCGAGCAGCACTCTCTGCCTGAGAGCACCACAGTGGCTTGCGATTCGAGTACAAGCGCAAAGCCCGCCGCGCGTGCCTTTGTCGGACTCCGGAGGCCGTTTTTCGGGCGCCGTCGACGACGACGACGACGATTCGAGTACAAGCGCAAAGCCCGCAAGCACCAGCATCGCGCATGCGAGCGCCGCAATGGCCTGCGAGCGCCCACAGTGCGCCTGCGACCACCACACCACAGTGCGCATGCCTTCGGGCACCAGCACGTTGGAGGGGAAGACCGAGACCCCCCCCGCGCACGAGCGTTACCGTTACGGGGGGGGGGGGGGGGAGAGGCCCGGGCAACGAGCGTTACCCCCCAGAGGATAAAAAAACAATCTCCAGTAAGCATCTGACGAAGATCCCACCATTCAACCTCAACCACGTTGTCAAGGAGCCCACGTCGCGCTACCCCCCCACGCTGGATCGGGTCGATCACTGTAGGAGCAGCCCGCTGGAGGCCAACGGAGAACGCGCCACTCAGGAACTTCGCATCGGTATTCGCTAGCGCGAGAAGGCGAGTCTTATCAGGCGACCGAACAAGGACAGCGGGGTGCCCGTCGTCTTCGAGGTCGTTGGGCAGAAAGCACATCCTTCCTCGACGCATGCACGCCGAAACGGTACCCCCAGACGCCTGATACATCTCTTCATAAACAGCGAATAAAAACATCAGCAGCCCCCTCAGCTTTCCAGCACCCATACGGAATGCCATCCTCCCCAGGGGCCGAGTGATGCTTTAATCGGACACGCTCAATAAAATCGTCAACATCCAACTTCCAATGCGAGGGGTCCAACTGGATCGGCTGGGCATGGGCGAGGATTTCAAGCCAGATGGTCCGATCAGGTTCCTTGGCAGCAAAAACCGCCTGCCAATGGTCACGAAGGGCCTCGGCAGAGGCCGTCGGAGAAGGGCACGCCTGCCCAGAACTGTCCAGGATCCCAGAGAGCCCGTACCGCCGACGCATCTTGGACCAGGCTCGACGGAGGCGTTGCAAGCGGGCCATGGCCTTAGCCTTCGACTTCTCGTCACCCTCCCACTCGTCCACCGCCCGTTCCTCCGACCCATACCAAGCATCCTTCAGAGACTGCACCAACGCACCCAGGCCGGCTATATCCAAGCATCTCTCACGGTCTGATCAAAATACTGAAGCAACCGAGGATACGCACGGATCGCACGCACACACTGGTCGAACCTGCTCGTACGCCACCCACGGAAAGCCATCATAGCGAAGTGGAGCTTCTCACAATTCTCTTTCGGGGGCTTCATCCGAAGCCGAGCCTTGAACAGAGGGGCCATCTGCCAGAAAATCTCCTTCACCCGAGCCAATTTCTCCCGAGGGGTCAAATCCTGGTCGATTTCCATAATAGCGCTGGCACACAACTCATGGTAAACACAATGTCTGGAAATCCACTTAGGAATCTGGGTGGGCAACGCTGATGGCATTCTCAGAGCGACAGTAGCCACCACGGGGATGTGGTCGGACGAGGCGAAGGTCTTCACGGCATGTCCCAGGGTATTTACCGTCACCGCCAAATCATTCAAGACGGGGGCAGAGAGAGTAGCGGTCCAGACGGGCAACCCCACGGACTTCTCCCTGGAACACATGACGCCGTGTCGGATCTGGTTGGAAAAGCTCTGCCCAAGACCCACAAATAGACTGAAATGCTTCAGTGTGTCCCCTATCCCCTGCTAGCCACGTTCCGTCAGTCCGAAATCGCCCCTCCTCCACCTCCATAAAGTTCCAATCCCCTGCAATCAAGCACATAGTGCGCGCAGCCAAAAGAAGGAAAGCCTGAATCACACAAGTACCTGCGATACATCGCAACAGGATCCGAAGTGTTCGGCATATGAACGTTGACAATCACAAGGTCCCCACGACTTCCCTTCAGGTGCGAGGCGAGGACTCGGCCAGCAATCAAGGGGAACGGAGTGATCGATTCGAACTGCGAAGCCAGCTTACTCGATATAACGGTAACCATACCGCCCCCAGCCCTCGGATCGATCATCGAATGGTGAACAATTGCACTGCGACAGCGGTCATCCCGCTGTAACATCTCCACATCAGACACTGTGCCATGAGTCTC